CCGGCCCCCAACAACTATGAATCCTCAGAAACAGGGTGTTTTTAAATGGCTGACTTATACCTGCAAAGCACTTACTGTACAAGATGCCATTCTGGCCAGAGAACAGCTCCATAACCCCCAAATCAGTGGGCTGTGAAAAGCAAAGTAGAGCCTACTCTTAATGATTTGCATTATACTTGCAGTACACCACCGTACTACTGTGGTCTCATATCACTGTTGCAAGCATGAGATCAGAGCCTTCATGTTACCCGCCGAAGCCAATAATACACGCGGCACTTTTGACCCCCAAGGTCCGCTGGCAGAAGGGGACCATACTTTATTATAACTCCAGGGCATTTATTCTTTTCCCACCTGCCTCAACTGAAGTAACTGCGATTAAACAGAGCAATCTTCTTTTGGACAGCAAGTCATACTTAGTTGTGCATCTTCTTCCTTCCTGCATCAGAGCTCTTGCAAGTTATTTATTTTGCAGGAAGTTGAGCAACCACCACCCATCATGCTTATTAGCTGAAGATCATTTTTGCTACTAGAACTGCTCCCTCAGTTTCGTCAGGCTGTCCCTTTAGTACCAGGGACTTGAACACTGGGAGTCATGCAGACCTCCTTGCTTAGTCTTAAGGAAACTAAACAGCAGCCTTTGAAAAGCACATCTGCTATCAGACTTAAATTAAGCTAGGAAAGCCCTGTGCTCTCATCCCTGCAGACTTCAGCTATTGCAAGAAGGCACAAGGGAGGTGCTTATAATTGCTCCAGCAGCTCTTTGGCAGAGGGCTCTAGAGAACAGCTATTCCCAGAGAGCTTAACTTATCTGAATGAGGCAGTGTGGGATGAAGGAAGGGGACCTAAATCACGCTGAATGGTTCTCACCAACTTAAACTGGCAAGCCATTTACTTCACACTCAGTGGCTGGAAACTAGTGCAGCTGGCAGGCTGGACTCTTTGCAAGGGACGATTGTGAACAGGGCCTTCAGGTCACTGCCATCATGTCACGCAGACCTGCCCCAAGACGGGTTAGGCAGTGAGGAAGAAGTCGTAGCTACAATAGCATTCCTACTACTGTGGTCAGAAGAAGCCAGACAGCCGACATTCCTCCCGCACATGCAGAAGAGGCCATTATACACATCTCTTGGGTAGTTCCCTTTTAGTGAATGCAGTGAAGGAAGATATGGCTGGACACCAGCTGACCCTAACAGGTACGGTGACTTCACTCAGCTCTTCCCTGAAAGCTCAACTGTTGAGCTGTCAAGCCCTCTACATAGAAACAGAGTGAGGTCATCAGGAACAGCACACAGAAATGGAAGTGTGGGTGGCATCTGAGCAGTCCCCAGCCGTGTGCGTCACACTAGCTTTCAAAAGACACTACAACCTAGAGCAGCATGAGATTGCCAGAAGCTAGTAAAGAGAGATAAAAAGCAAAGAGCTAAGAAGTCAACTGGTGCAGTGTTGGAGAGATTTGCCATGGTTATCTGGCTAGAAACAGGTCCTGCTCTCCCTCAGCTCCATGCCTTGACCATCTTCCTTCCTGGCTTCCAGCTCGACATGTAATACAGTTTTACATAGAAAACCTTAAACGTAAGCCAGCCAACGAGGAAATAAAAAAGCATAAAATGCTCCGGAGGACCATTTTCAGCATACAGGCAGTGACTACCTGGTCTAATGAGGATGCTGAATGATTGCTCTTTTGCAAAAAACTGTGTCATTTCCAGCTGGAATTGCTCAAGTTACAGAACAGTGCCTCAGACACAGAAATATGGCTGCCAGGAACTAGACCGTCTCTTGCTGCCCCAGAGCCTCATGTTCTGAGCAAAAGCTTTCTAAGTGCATCAAAATGTCAGGGTACAAGGTGCTCCATGTACCAGCACACCCTATTCATGTAACAGAAGTAGGCTTGCATGTCATTAGCAGCAGGAAATCACTGTGTGTACATCAGACCAGTTACCTCTTTAACACCAAGATTATTACAAGGAGAAAACTCCTTAAAAAGGGACTGAAGTGGCAGATGGTTTTTCATTTGTGGAAGTCTCCTTGGGGAGATTTAGGGGCACGTATCCATAAAGAAGTTCTTTACACTGCACAAGTGTTTCATAGTTTCTAGGGTCGGAAGGGACCTGAGCAGATCATGGAGTCCGACCCCCTGCCATGGCAGGAAAGAGCACTGGGGTCAAACGACCCCAGCAAGGTATACATCTAGCCAATGAAATGTATGTTTGAATCACTGTGTTAGAGGCCTATTTTCAATGCCAACAAAGTGGAAGTTTGCAACTGCCTTCAGAGGTGCTAGATCTTTGGCTAGTTTCTGCAAGCAAATCCCAGGTCTTAATGTGCCTCAAATATTGTGCCTCAAAGCCACAATAATTGCAATTAAAAAGATGTTAATGGAAATGTAACCTACCGGATCTTGTAAGCAAGTTAGTACTGACTACTTGTGGTCAGCAGTGTACACAGATACCCAACAGTCACAAAATGCGTTTGTGAGGAACTGCAGGAACTCCATCTGTAGCTTCCCCAGAGCCGAAGCTCTCTCTCATTAGATTTGAGAACAAGTCTCTTGCAGAAATAACCTACTAGTCAGTCCCACAGAACACTGGCCCACTCTTCATGACTAATTTCTTTAGTTTTTAGAACAAGGGTATTCTTGGGTCACATGACTGATTATTCAGTGTTACAAGCCAGTTGCCATTTTTGGTAATAATCCTCAGCTGTGGAATTGCCATTTCCTGTATATTAATACATACTGGAATTGCTGCATTCCAGATATTTATAAAGCAGGATAAGAAGTCACACTGAATCCACGCTTCGCCGGATGACTCCTCCGATGGGATTCCTCATGTATAGCGATGTGGAGAAATTAACAGCTTACATTGCTCAAAACGGGTTTTCACAAGAGATGAGTATAGCCGTAGCGCGCGGTCGTTACTTGAGAGCCAATACATACATCCAAGAATTAGCTCTCAAGTTGCCATGTTCAGCCTACACAGCTGTGAAAGATCCAACTGCCACGATGCTAGAAACATGTGTGGGTCACAGAAACACATGGCATGGTTTGGTATCCTTTGACGCAATGTTTTCAGCATGAATACACAGGAAGCATTTAACAAGTTAAAGATCCAACTTCGACCCGAAGTCCTACCCCTGCCTGCCCCGCCACTCGTTCCATCCAGGCCTCCAAGCGCTCTTCAGAGACGCCTTGCACAACAAGTAAAACGAACCTCCCAATAAATTAATTTAAATAATCACTGGACTATGCTCCTTGGACCACGTCTGTATCGCGTAATTCCCACTTTTCAGTTAAAAAAAACAACCTGGATAAGGAAGTAGGTTGGGTTTACAAGAGCTAGCAGAAATCCTCTGACATTGAACACAATAATCAGCAGCGATTTCAATGTCAAACCAGCAGAGAAGATCCTATTGCGGGGGGGAAAAGTCTTGTCCTTTGACAGCTCTAAGCCTCCTTTCAAGACCTTCACTACTATCAGGCTCCTAAAACATAACCCAACGCTCGCACTACACCTCCAGTGCAAGGTTTTACTCCACTAAGGGGATAGGCCCTTCGCAATGTCGCACAGCACCAGCTTCTGAAGCCCTGCCCCCCTCCCTTTTTTTAGGATGGTTTGATGCTAAAAAGAGGATTTTTAGCATAAAAGCAAAGTCCCACGCCAGGCTGATTTGCAAAGCCCTCTTCCTTCAGGTGTCATTGGGAGGTTTGATGAGTGCGGAGAGGGAATTTTTAGCCTATTTTTCTGCTCAAAATAGGAGGGATTTAAGCAGCTTCGCGATAAGCAGAAGCAGCCCGAGAAGGCGTCAACCCCCCCCAACGATCGACTATTTTGTTACCCCGGGGCCGCTCGAGCCCAGCGTTTCTGCCCCGGCGAGCCTGGCCTCTCTCAACCCCAAAGCGGCCGCGGGACTAGACGAACTTGGAAAAAAAATGTATTTTTCTTTAAAAGGAGAAAAACGTGGGAATGAACCTGCGGATTTCCCCTCACCGGCGGGAAGGGGCTGGCAGAGGGGGGGTCCTGGCTCCGCAAAAACGCCCCCCGGGGCCGCCCCCGCACACGCAGGGGGTGGTCCCTGCCGCGCCCCACGGGCCGGGCGCGGACACGCGTGGCCCGGTACCTTTGGCCTGGCAGTCGGCGCAGTACTTGTTCTCGTCCTCGCCCAGCAGGCTGCCCAGCACGGCCTGGTAGCGCTCCACGTCGCGCACCGACTTGCCCGTCATGGCCCGGCCGCGCTCGCGCGTGGACGCCCCGGCGCGGCCCGGCACAGCACAGCCCGCCGCTTCCTGCTTCCGGCCGCGGT